GCAGCTGATTCTCAAGGGCAATAAGAAAAATTTAGGGTTGTTCTGATGCATCTATCGATGAATGGATGTCATCTTCGATAGTTGGAGGCATGGTAGGTTTCATTACTCTTTGCGAAGGTTACACATTCCCCTTGCATAAGCGTGAGATTATGGAAGCCGGATAGAGGTTCGCGTTCCGATCGCGGCGAGGAAAGATGGAATCCTCCGGCGCACCCCCCCCCCCCCCCCCCCCAGGAAAGATGGAATCCTCCGGCCCCCCCCCCCCCCCCCCCCCTCCCGATGCATCGATACACGATCTTAGGTCGATGCATCGATGTTTTGAAAACTGCTATCGTGACAGCCCTGGTATCAAGGTGGACGAGTATTGTCCAGTGAAGCGGAAGTATCGGAAACGACTCATTCGTTCTCTCCTGTAGCACTTACGCACGAAGGGAATGGACCATATCAAAGAGAAATTGCCGAAATGGAGCGTGCTTCATGCCAAACACCATCTCGTTGCAGCATGATATAACGTCAGCCAGAAACTATTTTTCTAATTCTAGTGCGTAGCTCCTCACGTTTACCTTTCTACAGGTAAGTCCTGATGCCATGGCAAACTGCTTTCGAAAAGCGGGCTTCTGGTATGGCGAATCTACGCAGGAGTCTGACGTTGCTCCTCCAATGGAGAACGACGACGCCTGGGAAGGAATCGCTCTTCAGTTGCAAGTGGGTTGCGAATTCACGCAATTCGTGAATATTGACGAGGACGTTCCCACGTGCGAGCCGCTTCCCAATTCTGCTATGTGCGCTGAAGCTCACGGAGCTATGGAGCAAGAAGATGCTGCCAACGAAGAGGAAATGGAAGAACCAGCCATAACCAAGTCACGGGATGTGACGGAGGCTGTGGAAAGGATCAGGCTGCACCTTTATCGTGCATGACACGGAAATGAAGAAATGCATAGAAAAATCTGGGACGTAGAGAAATTCTTTCTGAAGCGGGCGAGTTCAAGCCGGCAGACATGCATCCAAGATTACCTGCAGTCATGAGTGCCGTGTTCTGAAAGCGCAGCTTATTTTTTTTTAATTCTCGTGTTTTGATTTGCCCTTAGTGACCAAATTATGGATGCTGCTCTGGAGACCCCCGAAATCTCTTGTGAGCAGCGGTCTTAGAGCAGCGGTCCCCAACTGTGGGTCGCGTACATTTTCCCAGTATCAAAAATCACTATATCTGCATCCGCTTGGGATAAAACATGCCCTGCAGAAAAGGGCGATCAGTTTTCTTCACGTCATAATTACTATTAAAATACCTCGTTCTGGATTCCGGAGGGTCGCGATTCAAAGAAGTCTGGGAACCGCTGCCTTAGAGCATGAGAGATAATAAAATATGTAAATGAGGCCATAAAATAGATTAAAGTCCTTTAAATGGAGATGTATGACCTCCCGTCCTGATATAACGAAATAATTCCCATGACTTTATCGACTTCGTTGTAACGGGAGTCGACTGTATATTGTTGTTGTTTTAACATGTAACTCTAAGTGTAACCTTTCTTTTGACCCAACCTGTATATGTTATCCTGGTTTATTTCCAAAAAGACCATTACCTTATATTCACTATAATACAGTACTTATTGCTACATCATCAACTTTGTGTTGTGCCCCCAATACATGTAAACCCACAATGCAGGGAAGTCTTTTTGGCACTCTGATGCTTCTATTAACCTTGGGTAGGGCAGGTTCTCAGCTTGAATGTACATTACAATTTGAAGTTACTGTACTGCTGAACTATTCATGTAATGACCAGAAGTAATAAGAAACCAAGTATTTGTTGAATATCAGAAATAACTATGCATTACTGGAGTGTTCATTTCTGAATGAAGTACTGCATGCAAAGGCTCTAGGGTTCCTGCGTTTGAGATGAGACAACAGGCTCTGACAATTTGTTGCAGATGTGACATCGCATGTACCTTTGCTTGAAAGCAATTTTGCCATAGACACTGATTGTTGTGCTCTCCTTGTCATGAAGGCATAATGGGGACTGGGATGAATTCATATGTCTGAATCCAAGCAAGGCACTGGTGGACTTCCTGTATGAATGTTTTGAAATGCAATTGTCATGTATCCCAGTTCAATTAGTAACAAAATCATAAATCAACACTACGAGCCTCTCTTTTATGCATGCCACACCCTATTACCCTTACAGCTTTGCAATTACACTGTTGCCTTCTAGTCTCTTGACAATGAAAATTTAAGAGTAGTTTTCAATCCCTGTAGATATCCCTGTCTTCTAGAGCAGCACACATGAAAACCGAAATTTACGCATGAACAGCACAGCTAAAAAATGTGAAAGATGACAGTAACCCATTCCCTCCCTTCCCTCTCCCACTTGGTAGCCATCAGGAACTTCAGCACCTCATTCCTTCCTCAACATTTTCCCACCTTGCTTTGATGCTTGTTTACAAGCAGGTGCCTTCCATGAAAGTGTAAGGATTTGTGTTTGCTATGACATATTGGATCGACCAAACAGGCTTGCGATGATGTCTGCAATTAATTGTCCACAACAAAAGTGCCAGTCATGGGGCAGCAGGGATTAATTATTGAGTGACTGTTCATAGCTGATATTGCAATGCTTTTGCTCAATTTTCCACACACTTGTAACATTACTCTTGCTGAATGGATGCATTTTGACTCTATTTGTTGACTTGATATTATGTCTTTGCATACAAGTTATTACCTAATCATGTCAATCTGAATTCACTTAGTCATTTGCTCCTGATTGCATTTTTTTCTCTGACATTCCCATATTCATGATTTTGATTGAATTACACTGAATTGCCAGTGCATCTGCTTAAGCAGTATCTTTTTAAATATATTTTAAAGTCATTATTGCTTCTGTGATAGACTGCATTTATGTTATTCCTGACTGTGAGAGCAAAGTAATAAAGCAATAAGCACACCTTCTCTGAGAAAAGAGGATTCATTGGTTCATCCATGAACTGCAGTCCTCAAAAATCCAAGGATAAAAAATCACTACAAAAGGACAAAGAAGGGAAGGAGCACAGCATGAGACAAATGCAGAAAAACTTCGGTGTTGAACTATCACAGGAAGTTGACAAAAGGAAAGAATTTTTGTTAAAGAATAAAAGAATACTTTTGTTGAGAGCAAAATCAAAGATCACACTTTTTTATTATTAGTATATATTTTGATTAAGAAAAAAAGGAAGGTGGTAGATACAACCTGGAGGCAGGCCATTCAGCTACCATCTTGAACAAAGCAGCAACTTCACCTCTTACATATTTGCATAGCTAGGCTGGATTTCCATGAGTCTATAGCATATGTATAGGGCAGTGCCAAAAAAAGCATCCTGTTTGATACCTTTTGAAATCGACTGGAACTTCTAGGTTGATAATTTTTTTTAATCACAAATTATTGAAATTTTAAAATGTCTAGGGTGTCTGGATAAAAAGTGACAAGCAATCATGAAATTAAATTTTTTCCATGCACGAGGTGGATGCAGTCTAAGCACACCTTGAAAGTTCTCTCTTCTTTGAAGGGTATTTTTAATGCTGAGTCTGAGTATTCTTGACCGTGTAATGTCTTCAGGCATCATCTGAGAAGGCCCAAATTTGATGGTGTGTTTAGAGTACATGGACTGGAGAGGGAAGGAGTAGAGAGAGTTTTCTATAAAATCGTGGATTGCACATGGATTCTCTTCCCTCTCCAGCCCTTCTAAGAAGCCCCTTCAATGCAGTGAATTTTCTTTTGTAAGATACAACATGATGATATTGCAGTCGAGAATATGCAATAATAATGCAGCCATAAGAAACAGCTTTTAAACAACCAATGGGAGACATCTGTAGAGCACATCAGAAACTGCTGTCTCCTGATATGTGTAAAAGTGGAATTTTCTTATTAAAGTTTCAAGGACTCTTACTCTTTACTCAACTGTGAGACTTCAAAACGTTCAAAAATTACATCTTAGACGGTTTCCTGTGATATAAAAAAATTGACAAATCTAGCATATCCATATTAAGTTTTATAAAGCTTCAAGCAGGATGCATCTTTTGCACCACCTGGTATTTGAAGCATGTTACAATACCCTTGCCCTAGCACAGTCCAGAGTGATCATGATGGAACTAAGCAGTCATGTAATTAAATTGCATTAAATAGTGATGGCCAACTGAGATGATTTTTCATCAACTCTTTAAAAATGAATTCTTGAACAAAATGGTGAAAATCACTGCATTAATAATGCACTGTCACAGACATTGCTCTACTGAGACAATTCCTTTTCATGCAGGTCAGGGATAATTGATTACCATCATGCATTTACGATTCCCTACTTATACTAACCATTTCATGGCTGAGAAGATAGATGGGAGTTTTGAACTCTTTTCATGCATTCAAGACTGAAGGCACGCCTATAATAATATGTTCTCTCATGTCAACTTCACTTGGGTCCATCACCTGTTTACATCATGAGTTCTGAGTCAACTTCAGACCAAACATGAACTACTCCTAAAGGGCTTTAAGGTACCATCCTTTTATGCCTATTTCAATGGATTTGATAACTGTGAACTCCATTATGAACCTAAGATGCATATTGGAAATAGAAGGACTTTCTTCAGTAAGAGTAGTTTTACTTGCTACTCTCTGCTGTCAGGCATTAGCACCCTCATACAGCTCCTCTTCATCTCACAAAAAAAATTTGTCAAACTATAGGATATAGTCATATTAGCAAACATCAATTCAAAATTGTCTATTCAAAACTGAATAACATAAACAAAAAACCTTTAATGACCACCTTCCATCATGATCACCCTTGACATCTATGCTATTTTTATTATTATAAAGGAAATCCTGGCTTTCCTGAACATAGCTGCCACACAGGTACATTACTACTTGTACTGTCTGCAATGTGATATTAAATCACCTACATTATCAAGGACCAAACTTTGATGAGGCTGGACAATAAATGGAACTGGGAGACAAGAAAGGGATTCTGTCATTGTCAGCAGACTGTGAAATCCCACAGCTTGACTGTCTTGTCATAGGATCCAGAGACGATGATGAAGTCGTTGAACTGAACGCAGGTGACGCCATCAGTATGGCGACGAAGGGTTAGCAACCGCTGACCGGTTGCCCAGTCCCACACCTTGAGGGTCTTATCATCAGAGGCACTCACAATGCGCCATGAGTCGGCCTGAAGACTTCGTATAACTCCTAAATGAAAGAGAACTCTTTCAGGCATTTAAGTTAGAAATTCCAATTGCTGGGCAAGAAAGAATATCCTTATTCATGATGAGATAGAGCTGGCACAAACAAGGTCAAGCACATATCTCAATAGCTGGAGGCTGGAATGAGTCCATTGACAGTGTCACAGGAAGACTCAGTACTCAAGGCTGTACTGAAGTATTGGCTAACACTGGTAGGGTAACTTGGGGGAATATGGCCATTGGGGTAATATGGTCCTTCACAATGAATCCCCTTACAGACTGAATAATTATTTTGGGCGATTTAAAAAAATAGTTCTATGGAAGAGTACATGCAATTGTCAAAATGTTTAGACCTGTTCATTGGTCCAGTTCTCAAAGGAATTCAGGATACATCAATGTCTCGAAAGTCATATGCATGCGAGTCTTTGACTCATGACCCTGAAACTAATATGAGCCTTGAGCAACTTAAGTGCAAGTTTCCTAATAGCAGCATGGATGCAGAAACCATGTCTTCAAAATTCTTCTATGGTCCTTCCAGAATGCTTGTGGAAAGTGCTAGCCCCTTCACTTGCGGTTTGCAGACAGTGTTGTCAATTTTGTAATGCAAGTCAATATGGGGGAATATGGCCATCTCAATTTGGGGTAATATGGGCACGTCTTTCATTTCCTGTCAGCACCGCACTGACTTATTGGTAGTGTCAGCTTCCTTTCATGTGGGATCTCAGGCTGCAAAAGATCATCTGATGCACTTCTTCTGGATATATGGATAGACGTACTGCACATCTGGACGAAATATGCAGTATATGAGGAGGCCGTGCATGAAGACATGCTCATGCACCGCCTCCTGGACATCTGCTTTGCCTGACACACTCCAGAAATTTTCATGGCACGAAATTTGAATGCAAGTAAATATCCCTAGTACAAAAAGTTTAAAGGGCTTCCTGTGATTTTTTTGGCACTATTTATCCATGCTTGCAAAAACTACACAGCATTTTCCTGCAATGTGAGACCAATTATTTTGCACTCGAGGCGCATGTTTGCTTTAATTCATGATTGATCACTCCTATCACACCCACAGTCTCTAGATACAGGCCCCCAATCATGTGCAATGTTACTCGAAGCCAAAAGCATTGCAATCCTGCTTTTTGCAATAGGTCCTTGAGTCGGATAATAATGTCTACTTCTTTGCTAGCCCTCAATACTGTTAATGAATTCTTTTTCAACTGCTGAATCCCCCTTATTATGTTTCAAGGTACTCAGCATATTCCAGCATTTTTCACGCTCACATGGAAAACCTTGAGTTGTGTTTTGAGAAGTGGCCATATTCCCCCAAGAATATGGGTAATATGGCCTCTTGGGACCATCTTGGAAAAGATTCAAAGGCACAGTATCCATGTGGTTTTTTGCATGTACCTTGCTGGGGTTTAGTAAAGGAGATATGAATCAGTATTTTAGAATCATTTTAAAAGTCAAATTTGACCTTGATGGGCTGTGATGACCAGATTTCATTTTGTAGAGTCATATTCCCCCAAATTACCTTATCAGCTGCTGGTGCCCAAAGGACAGGCAAAAAAAGCAAAAACAAATTATGTGAGTGTGTGAATGTGGCTAGGCACCAGTCCTCCTGTCTCACTGAAAGTCACTCCTGCCAGCCTCTCCCAGACAAAACTATCAATCTGATTATATTCCAGCCAGATTATAGAAACCAGCTGATGAAGGTGGCAGTAAAGAATGGGAAATCATTACATCTCCATTTATGTCAAGCTTTTGCAAGGGATGTGTCATTAAGTGCATGCAACAGCAGCAATGGGTAACAAGCTAACCACTGACAGCCTTATAGAGAGACAGACAGGCTAGACAGGACTAAAAATGGTCATCATTTCAAGGCGACCTACTGAGAAGCATCACATGGCTTCCAATTAGACATTAGAATTTATAGGCGATTCCATCTATAGGCCACAATCAGCACCAGCACTGGCCAATAGTTGAGGGAAAAATCAGCCATCAGTACAGCCCTACTCAGTACCCATATACAGCTTAGGAGCATGGTATTCCTGACCTGTATGTCCTTCAGAGGTCCTCCAATCCAGAGTAGCAAGGCACGTCCCACCATCTCGATGCCACATCTTGATGGTATGGTCCAGGGATCCTGATACAATGCGCTCCCCATCAAAGTTCAGACAAGTGACAGCATTCTGATGGCCTTCTAAAGTCATCATGCACTCTCCCATGTCTAAGTCCCATACCTACAATAACCACTCTGGTTAGGTAAGATAGAATGCATTCAATACTCCATTCCTTGCACTCTTTAAGGTCCAACCATTCTGATCTGCTTAACTTTTTCCTGCGAAAATGACTGGCTGTGCTTTACCTTGATGAGGGAATCTCCTCCACCTGTGATGAGGTGCCGCTGGTCAAATTGCATACAAAGGACAGGGCCTTCATGCCCATGCAGTGTTTTCAGGCATTCTCCACCCTTTAGATCCCACACCTTGATGGTCATGTCGTATGAGCCACTCACCACCTTCTTCTCATCAGCCTAGAATTTCACCATAGCTCATGAGAAATTTTGGACTTTGCTGGTCAAAATGTCACACCACCAACCTACAAGATATTGCTAAGTTAGGTCTATCATAGGTGATAGGTCTATGATGGGAAAACAATATCATTGGCCTTTGTAATGCTATGCATATCCACTTGCAGGTTTAGCACCTACCTTGGTCTAACCAATTTATTGTAATTCATGCTGCATTTCTACTTGACTCCATGTTCCTTTCATGACAGTTCACAGCAAAGTAAAAGTACTTAGAGTGGATACTTTTCAAGGTTCCCCCACAACTCCCCAATATGGCCACCTGTGTGAAGAAATATCTTCATCACCTCCCTGCATACCCATAAATGACTTTTTTCCAAGTCTTGTGCCACTTGGTTATCATGGTTCACCATATCATAATATCTTACTTGGTGTCCCACTTATTGTGTAACAAAGACAATAATTTCTAAATGTGATTGGCATGGAATAAAAATGAAAAGAAATTAAAAAAATTATTTGTTGCATCAAAGTTCTTGTTCTATGCATCTTATTGATTCCATTTGTTCTCATGTGCTATAACTTGAAGGCCAAGAAATTTTATCCCCAGGGAGCCAAACTCTAGTAGAGCAGGATAGCAAATGTTATCTATACCTGAAGGCAGCGAACAGTATCTGTATGCCCAAGCATGGTGACCTTGCAGGCAATGCTGGACCAGAGTGGCTTGATTTCCAGGTCCCACACCTTGATGCTACAATCTGAGGATCCACTCACAAGGCGATTTCCACTCAGATGCAAGCAACGGACAGTTCCTGAGTGTCCCACCAGAGTCATCACTGACCATTGGCTGTTGGTTCGCATGTTCCATACCTGTCCATGGAAAACTTTTATGAAGAAGAGATAAAATGGCCAGAAAGGAATGTAAACAATCAAAAAAACTTTCACCTTGATGGTCTTGTCATGGGAGCCACTCACGATGCGATCTTCATCAAACTGCACACATGAGATGGCTTGGGTGTGTCCTTCAAATGTTCGCACATGACATTGGCCTCGAGCCCAATTCCTCTTCAATCGGTATCTCTCAACAAATGCCTGATAAAGAAGAACGTAACAGTATGACTCAGTCAAGGGTCAGGATATAAGAGCTCCTTTCTGCTTGCCAACATATTTTCTCAAAAATGCAAGCTAGACAGCTTTAACCTCATAAAGCTAACTATAGCTTGATGAGTTTTACATGAACTGTAGAGGGATGGGAGTAAGATTACTTTTGGAAAATAACTGTCTTTAATGTCTAAAATGTATCAGATCTCACCATCCTCCAGTCAATACGTCCATTGTGCTTCCGATGCAACTCCCTGTGTTTCCGTTCCCCAGCTTCAGAGAGTCTCCACTGTGGAAGTTGGCAGAGTTTCTGCCAAAGAATGTCATGGTAGGATACCTCTTTCCATGGCCTGTAAAGAAACCAATTCATGTCAGAATTATAGATTTTCCTAACTCCAAAGACTGCAGAAGGCCCTTTTTCAATCAGGAACTTCAGGGCCTGTGCATGATAATGCAAAGGTCACCAAAAAACTTATTGAGTACCATTATAAATGGTTTCAAAACAAAGTTTGAAACTGGAAAAATAGATGATTTCCCACATTCAGGAAAACTTTTGGGCACCTTCAATCTTAATGTCTCTCAATAACCTATATCTAGAACTGACAAGCTTTAACTTTGAATTCTATTCATGTAGGATAAATAAATAACATTCAAACATGCACATTCATCAATCACCTCTCCTTTCTTAGATTTCCGAGATAAGATGATGATTAATTTTTTATATTTTCTTTTCATGTAAATTTTTGCCCGGGCTGAAATTTACAATTAGCATGGGCTAAGATATCTTCAGAAAGTAGGTACATTTTATTTCTTTTTAGGACACAACTAGGAGATACCACTTACAATACATTTTTACTCAGGGTCTCACTGATGCCCTGCATCAGTGAGACCCTGAGGCATAAAATGCACCAAAATGATACCAACTACATCCTAAAACAACATATAAACCTGCCCAGCAGATTCATCAGTACGATATTTCCTGAGAGGTAGAGACCTGGGATGTATCCAGGTCTCATCTCGTTACTATATGTTTTATGAACAAGTTATCTCCCATTCTGTAACAAGTAAAGTTTTCCTGTAGACTCCACTCAAGTCAGTGGAAGTGTCAAGACACCTATAGACTTAGGCTTAGCCCCCTTTGGATTAGCAACTGAAGAGTGACCAATACCTGGAGACCCTGGCACAAGTGGCAAGTGACTTTGGATCAAGGTAGGACAGAATTCGGAGGGATAGGTGAAGAGGAAACCACGTGACAAAGTCCATGCATCCTGGATAACATCGCCCATGCATCCCACCCTCATATTCCAGGCGGAGGGAAAGTCCATGATGACACCAGACGGATCCATTGCACATATCCTGTTGTGAGAAAACCATAAAAAGGAAATGATAAAAACTCTCATGATACAACAGAGCCAAACTTACTTTACACACCAAGACCCTGAACTATGCTATTGGAGCTTCATTGGAAATTGAACACTTCTAGGAGGCAGATTCCTTTCAGATGCAAAATTCCTTGGCTTGTGGCTGTTGGAGGCCAAGTAGCAAAATTCATGATGCCTGAATTTATTGTGAAAGGTGACATCCAAAACAAATTTTATGCAGTTTTTTCCTTTTAACAGTGGTATACTGAGACAAACTCTCACCCACAGTAAAGACTAGTGCCATCATGGAAATGGAGGGGTCTCCCCAAAGCAAATTAAGCTGACCAGCATTCCCACTGCTCCCCACTTCCTAAGATTGCTGGCACTGATAAACCTAGGGAGATGACAGAACTTAAATTTCTGAAATTAAACATGATGAATCAGATTCTCTCATTGAGGGTAAGAATGCAAGTTGCAAGAAAAGCATAACAGAAACAACACACTTCAGGTATAATAATTCATGAGTCATAAGTTAATAGGTAGAGCCAGAAGGAAAGTTAGAAAATAGTACATTCATTACAAGGCAGCAATGACTACAAAAGCAAAGGTACTTTGATTGGGGGTTATTCTATGTCTTGTGAACACCATGTACATCCTAGCTAGCCTCCCCTGTTCCTTGTTTCCCTCTGAAATGTCTACTACTACATAGCATTATCCATTGCTGGATGACATTTCATAAGAAAAATTTTGAATGCATTTTGGCATACATGTACTTCTTGATCTATGGACCTATTGGCATAAGATGCAGAGCAACCAGTGACTGAAAGAACCTGGCAGAAGCAGGAAGGTGTAACAGGGATAGCAAACAAAAAGACTCCAACATGGATATGTAGAAACATGGATGTAACAGGTGAAGGGTGAACAGCAAGGTGTTCACATAGCCCAAGGGTAGGTGTACATAATGGCCTGTATAGGTGTTCATAGAACTAAGTGAGGGTGTACATGGTGTTCACAAGATGAACAATAGTCCATTGGGAACAGGTTCCTGACCCTACAAGGGAACATTTGTCTGATTGGGACCAAGTTTGCAACAAGGATTAACCTGTGCTTGAAGCTTTCTTTAACTGCAAGAGGGGCAGTTTTGGTGCCTTGGCATTCCTGTGGAGTCATTAATGAGTGGTAAAGTTAGAGAAGAAGCCTAGATGATTGATTTACATGAATACATACAGACCAAGTATTCTATTTGAACTTCTTCCTGCTTTCCCTTCCCTCCATCAAAATGCTACACTTTATAACTTGGAGATGTACTTGACAAAGAAGTACAATGGGATGCATATTCTGCAACAATGTAATTTCTTGATCCATTAACTATACAACCTTGAGATTTAGTAGTAAGGAATCTGCTACCAATTAGTTTCATGGTCACCTCCTCCACAGCATGGGATGCATGATTTTGGAGCATCATAATGGAAGTATAATTTGTTGATTTAGAAAGCCCATTATTAGTCTGTAATTCAGTGCTGAAGGATGGTGTCTGCAAAGTAGTTTAAGTTAGAATAGCTCAGGATATTCCACTGCACAGACAGTGAATGGTTAACCCTTCACTACTATCAATGAAAAAGTTTCATCATGATGATGAATATTCAACTCCAATTCTGACAGGAACTTACTGTTATGTGAAAGAAGTAATGAAGCATAATCATCAATGTTCCACATATTTGCAAGTGATGACAAAAGATATGGGGAAGAGGGAAAGAAATAGAGGAAATTCAAATAGTGGATAATGAGGCCTTTCATAGAACTCCTTGGGTTCTCTCTGGGTGACTGGGTTTGGATGCAAAAAAAGTTTAATAGATATTTTTCTTATTTTTTTTTTAGACATCCTATCAGCCTATAACCTCCTTTGAAGCCATTTCCTATTATAAAAAATCATCAAATATTGAAATACTTTGGCTTCAAATATTCAAGTTGATTATGCAAACCTTATATCCTCAGACAGTTCATTCATTTTTCTGCCTTTGATGTTCTTGTTTAATAATGATGGGAGTAAGTAACTACTTAAGTTTCTGATGTTGAGAGCTTCACTTTATAACCTTAGGCAATTTATTTGAAGGGAAATTGAATTAATTTACTTGATGGAAGAATTCTCCAGAATTAAAAATATTTAGCTTTAAGAGGGTTAGGCCTACCCTAAAATTAAGGAATGCTTGACCTCAACATGTGATATCGAAATGGGCGAAATCGCCTCTTGATGTCACTAACTATCTTGACTCTTGATAAAGAGATCACTAATATAATCTCTANGAGAAATTAAACCAAGTCCCATTTAATCAACTAAATTTAATGTTTTTCATGAAAAATGAAGCAGAGGCATTCAGCAGCAGCACAAACTGCTTTAAGATGGAGTAAACTATCCAAGATCTGGTGATGGGGGGGAGAAAGAAGTACCAGTGTTTTGCTTTATTGTTGAGTGCAAAAAGGAGGCTGTTGAGAGGTAGGAATCTGGAAAATTTAGTAGCGAAGAGATTAATGTTAAATTACGATGGTTTGTTTGAATACTTCTGGGCCTGGGCAACATATGGGAATATTAAATCTGATCACATTATAGTCCTCACGTATAATTCCAAGAGAGTGGTCCTCTTTTGCGACTCATTGAAGTTGGCAAACCAAGACTTGATCATGTTCAAGTCGCACCGGAATTCGATGTTCGACAAAGGCTTTTTGCGTTCATCTCGGGCACGGTAGTGACTGGGAAGGCTTGAATACTGCCGTAGCTGCCGGCTATAAAACGTACAAGAGCCTCCATTAGGCCGAGGTAGGACTCGGTCGGGAGGATCCATAGTGTGGTTGATGGCACTCTCCGAGGCACATTTCACTGGTTTATATTCCGGCATGCTGATCACAGATTTGGGTGCATTTTCAGGCCTTGCCAATCAAACATTCGTGTATTCGTTGGCATTTTCTCCGTTAAATGCATTCTTTGGGCATCTCCCCAAAGAATAACACGTTTCACGTGCTGCGCCCAGAGGGACGCCACTCTGAAAAGTGGGCAACTTCGATCAAAATGACCTATTCACTTTGAGTTAATCACAGAACTTTAATCAACATGAGATGGCAGGTTTATTAGCCAAGGATCGCCAGAGTGACATCACACTTTCATGTTGAAAAGGATATTACATTAAATCTTTGGTTCTAAACCCAGTGCTACTAGTCCGTTTCTCTTGCTCGATTTCTGATCATCACTCCAACTTCAGTTGAAGATTGAGAAATCGCGCCCACGACCCACGTGTCCTCCAGCAGCGTGCTCTTGTCTGGGACTTGGTGGACGATCATGGATAAGGAATTGCTAGCGGAAGACATTCCTGTCTTCCTGGACTTACTACAAAGTATGAGCAAAGAGATTGAATCGCAGCTGACTCCCTCTCTCATCTCCCTCGTAAACGCTTGCAAGGAACTCAACGATTCGGTATGGAAGTTCTTCTTACTCGAGTGTCCAGGTCAGTGGTTCTCAACCTGGGAGGTGTCACCCCCCCAAATGCATGAAGGTTCAAGGGGAGTAAAATGAAGGTTGAGAACCACTGGTTTAGGTCAATGTCTGGTCTAACGTTAGGGCTAAGGCTGAGTCCAACTGCAGAATTCCAAAACAAAAGGTGATGAATTAAGATATAGTAGGCCAGACAGATTCATCCATATCTCCTTCATTCTGAAAAAAAAAAGAAGACCTATCCAATGATGTTGAACTCGCTGTGATCGTGGAACATAATTCTGAGAATTGGAAGGGAAAGAAAAGACCATAGGGCCATACCTGTTTAATAACTCTGGGGGAGTGCTTTTTTTTTGCTTATGCTGGATTAGACAGGTAGAGTGCATTTATGAGGACTTCCACCCATAGTCACCTAAGACTTTTTCTCACTCTTATTTCTTTTTTTTTTTTTTACAGGGGATGTCATTCCTTCATGCAAGGATCCAAGTAATGCTAAATTATATCCTGGATCTGCTTGGTGTCATTCACCTTAAACTGCATGGGCAATCCTTGGAGAACTCTCCCATCATTGGTGGGTGTTCTAATTATCTCTCCTTAATCATCATCCTGCTCTTAACAGTTCATGTCATCTACCTTGAAATATTGCATCCATTTTTTTTCGCTTTTCAAGACTCCATCATTCGAATGAGGACGACAATGGAGAAGAGCCGGCCACTTCAGCACAAACTTATGTACCAGATCAACAAAGCCGTTGAAGTAGGAATGAAAGGGAAAGTGGATGCAGCTGATCCTCTCCGATATGCACCCCATCCTGATGCACTCGTACCCAAGGTTACAGATAGTCCTAGAGTTTTGAGTCTTTCAACAGGTCCTAGATTTTCACACTGGTGTTTGTCTTTCTTTGCAGGAAGGTGCTAGTGATGAGGATGAAGGTGCAGAGGAGGGAGAGGCAAAGGAGGGACCATCAAAGCCCTATGTCATCCCCAAGTTTGCCTCTGTACCATTCCCAGGTGGGATTTCACTAGAATATTACCAATGGATGTGGTTTAGATGGACTTGAAACTCGATAAATGAAGACAATGATTTTTTTTCCAGCTGAAATGACCTTAATTTAAGTGCCAGTATCCTTTCCCAAAAAAAAAAGCACTCACTTTTTCCAAGTATCTCTTGCACCATTCAGGATTACTTGCACACAATCAAAAATACACGTTCATCTAGCCCTTCGATGATGGGTAATTGCGGTGGATCATTTTTACAGAAAGGATTATTTAGCAATCTAGGAAGAGCTGTTATACTAGCTCAAGAATGTGCTGGAAGCCAACAGTTTTTCTGAAAAGGTCAAGATTGACAGGTGCTTGAACAAAGGTTTTTTTTTAAATATTGTTTCATGCACAAAGTAAAAATGATGAAAAGAGTTTATTTTAATCCTCTTTAACCCTTTGAGTAGTGGGTTTTTGCATCCTTGCCGGACCTACAGGAGTGAGTTTTTTTTAGATTCCACAATTGTGACAGAAAATTACTAGATTTATTTTTCTTACATAAATTAACATTGTACTTGCATATATTTTTAAAATAAGTTTTTGGGCATATGAATATTGGGATCTCTGAGGTGATTTTGTACATTTCTCTTGTTTCTAATCTTCCGAAATGCTTAAGGTGTGCTACTCTGCAAAGCATGGATGGATACAGAGTCCGATGTAACAGGCGACGCATTGGTACCAGGAATCGGTCCTCTTCTACTGACGTCTTTTGATTCTTTTGCATATTTATGGGATTAATTGCAATTTAAATTCTCAGAATAAGTTCTTGGAAGAGATGGCTAGATGGTACCACCTGTCTGGTCAGTCTCATGACCCACTGCATGCATTTGCACTTACGACACTGCATGAAAATATGAACCCGTATATATACAGGCATACTCCAGTAGTGCCACCCAGCGTTGCCGTATATATACAGGCATACTCGTCAAAGGGTTAAGGCAGTGTAGAAAAAAAAAATAATTTTCCCCATGAACCAGAGGCAACAAATCAGAATTTCCCAGGAAGGATATGCAAACAGACTAAGTGGGCCGGGGTTACCCCTCCCATTCGTGTGTCTCCATTCCAGCAAACCTCATTGCTGGTTTGCAAGGGTTTTCCTAACCTGCTTTAAGGTAATATTGAAAGCTCTTGTATATATGGGATAAAATGACAGGAATGATATAAATTTGTTAGATCCTGCAAACTTGCATCTAATGAGTTTGTATGGCCAAATCTAGGTGACATGACTGAAAATCAGGAAGAGAGAGAGGGAGAGAAGAAGCGGAAACGGGAGCTGAAGCGGGAAGTTTTGGAGGAGATGAAATCGGAATACTTGGATACACCGATGGAGGTGTGGGATTCAGAGTTCCATGAATCTGGCAGTCGCAAGGGAGCCAAGCGTCCCAAGGACAAGGAAACCATTCAGTATGGAATTACCTGCTATGTTAATCATATTAGAGAAAAATGCATTAAAATGACCTTTGGTTTCACTTAGGTATGAGGAAACCTATTTTACTCGACTCAAGGAGCCAAAAGGGAAGTCAAACAAGAAGAGGAAGTTGATGCGCAAGTTGAAGACCAAAAAAAGACACGTGAAGAAGTAGCTATTCATTGTTGTTGCATTGCCTTTTTTCTATTTCAGTCATTTGCTTGTTGTAATGTTGTTGAAAATCCAAGTTTTTCACATCATTTCTTGAATTTAAATGGATGTGTCAGCACCATTGTGGTCTCTGATAACTGGTTGACTGTCAAGATCTAAAGAGCCCTTATATTTGCATAATATATGTATATGTTTATTGGAGTGTTATGAGATGCAAAGGCCAAGGAGGATGGAATCAAAACCATTGAGCTTGGAGAGCTGAGGATTTTGACTCTTTCTTTTTTATGGGTTGATTTTTAAAATAACTTCAGAGGTTAATATGCATTATTTCGAAGAAATCCCTTTATTGGATGGTTTTCCAAGGAAATTTTAAGTGATGTCATATGTACCATGAAGGTTTTTGAAATTTTTGTTGAAAGACTCCTTAGCCATGCAGAAAATCAAGTTGCTACAAGTTGATCTTGAGTGGCTTTTTGTGAATTTAGGTGCTTGTAGCTGACATGATGGAATTCATGAAGCAATATGGAAAGCCTTAGTTATCTTTCATCAATACTCCATGTAGAGGACACAGTCAACAGATCACTCCACACAGAGTGGTTCTTCGACTGAGTCAGTCAGTTGTCAATTTGCAGTCTCTTCTACCATCAACTGGTATAGCAGCATTTAATTTCAGCTGGAAAGGGCCTGGGCTTCTCTTCCAGAACTCTCCTCTTACATCTTTGTCTACCAATCATGGTACTATATGCATGAAATGATTCTATTCTGAAGAGAAGGTACAATGATGGCAATACTTCTCTACAAACAGACTGAGTCAAAATGATGCAATTGTGACATCCAGGTATTATTGGAAACACTGCATCAGGATTCAAAGATAACATTCTTTTAATTGTTGGGCTTACTTTTTAAGGGTTTCAGCACAGTTGAAGGAAACAAAGCATCTTACTTCTCCTGCTTATTATATTGTTATTTATTGACAGATCAAGACTGCTGGATTATTTTTGAGAATGGGGTGCAGTTGTCTATCCTTGCCAAAGAACCAGATAGGATTCCTGTAGACATCAAATATTCCTCAAATGAAGTTACTATGACTTAAAATTCTTTATTACATTTGAGTGCAATCTCAATCTGCCTTCTTTAGTCATGATGCAAGACATGATGCAAGACATTTGACTGTGTATTTGATACTTTTTATGCAACTAGGGCTTAGGCATTGACAAAATGGCAGACTTTCTGAAGGAGTGTATCTGCTTCTATATGTTCACATCAATACTAGGTCATAACACTTTGGAGACCCAAACCAAACAATTGATGTTACATTCTCCCCATCAACCTTTTCAGATATGCTTTAAGGAAACAGTGCAATCTGATTCAGTTGTTGATGTGTATGCCAATTGCTGTCCTCTAAAGATTATCAAGAGAGGCAGACCTGAAGACCTCATTCAATGGCACTTCACCATATAAAGAATTTCTGTAATAAGAAGCCTATCTTTGTCTGCTACTACCCTACCCTCAGTCAAAAATGTTTACATGAAAAAATCCATATACAATAAAATCAGGCAGGTTGCTACAAAAATTTCTAACTAGTTTCTTCAATACATCAGTATAAGTTATTTTGTATGTTGAAAATTGATATTCTTACTCAGGATATTTTTTAAAAAGTAGGTCTGCATGAGAACATTGATTCCAAATTAAGAATGCACAGCACAACAAAGAATACTGTAGGCATTTCAAGTTTCAGCCTGAAGTGTCGTCTCTATCAGGTTTTGATCTCTGGCTAAACAATGGTATCACTAATCATAAAGGGACAGAAAGACAACAATACAAGGAAATTTCTTTATTGTATCTCACAGAAGACTCGGAGAAATTGAACTGCCATCATGCATACAAGAGCTTTAGTAATCTTGGATTCTACATATTGCACAACTTGGACCTCTAATGATGGTGGTGGTCGTCGCCCTCTTCGTATCCATCGGGAAGGGCATTCATGTGCGGGTTGTGGAAAAGGGACTTGTTGCCATCACCCCAGGGAAACCTCTGATGGAATCAGATAAATAGAACATTTAATTCTTGAATTCCTTGGGTCTAATTAAAAAATAAATCCAATAGAATACCTTGCTGCGAATGCGCATGTGTTCATATGGCACAAATTCTGGTCTTGCGTGCGGATGATCCCGAATACCCAGGTATGCATTCAACATACACAGACCTACAGCTGGCAGAGCAACAAATATGCTCAATTGCCTCCACATGCGCATGCCCGCTGCAAGCAAAAAGGAAGATTCTTCATTCACTACACTGTCAGGACCTAATATAAGATAACTAAGCCGAATTAGGAGTCAGATAGGCTTCAATCACTAATTTTTCCCTTCATCTGTGCTCCTTAATAGTAATTTGTGAGGTTTTGGTGCACTTGGGAGGAGAGTTTGAGCAACAATCATTTTTACCATGCAAGAAATGAACATTGCTCAAATATGCATTCAGGTTATTAGGCCTGGACATGGTGGGACACCCCACTAATGATTCATGGAACTCCAGCCTCCATTCTGTATGTTCTTCTGTGATGAGAATTGAGTATCCCATGAAATCTCCAGTTACATTTATTGCACGTGAAAACTACCAAGACCTTTTACCATAGAGAACAGTGAGTTTGCATTGAAAACAAAAAGAGACCCTGTTATTCTTTGGGAGAAAGGTATTACCAATGACTTACACCCATAACTTCTCAGCTGCTACCACACAATAACATTGGAAGAAGTTGCCTTTTCAAGCCATAAATGTGTAGAACAGTAAAACTTCATGTACCTCATAGTATGACAACAACAAAAAAATGAAAGTGCCTAGCAGATACCAGCTTGGGGCATTCAATTGACATTAGGTGATTCAGCATTGTCTTCTGGCATGTCAGGAAAGGATAATGTAAATCTTCTCAGTATGTCTTTATGCAATTTATTCCAGGAAATCATGCATACATTCAGATTAACCTATTACTGAAGCATATATATATATATATATATATATATATATATAAAGCCACTAGACTACCTCCCCTGCCCAAAAAAAGCAGGTTCGGAAAGTCTGTATTTCAATGTGAGCTCGCAATCCACACGGTTCCTCCCGTCCCAAGATCTACAATGGGACCGAAGCCTAATGTTTTCCACATGCCTCGCCCTTATAGCTCGGACTTGCTACAGTAACAACTGCACAGTGTGTATTACAAGGGAATATATATATATAGCCCTAACTTGCACACTGCCAATGAACGAAAGATGACCTTCATGGGAATTGCAATATATGTAATTATCATGATTTGTGATTGGCACAAACCCGATATTGTAGCATTTATTCACGCTACAATATTAGGTGTGGGCCCATTGGCAAATAACTCAGATAGGATTTTGGCATAGTTAATGGAAGACAGAGGCTCAAGTCAAGAAATTTGGCCGATACTGTCTGTGTCTGGTGGTCTTAACGTTTGACCCATTCATAGCCTACTGCTTACCATGAGGCTCAGTTAGACCAGAGAAATTTTGACGGCTGACCTTCATGAGCAGCATGTGGTTGATTGGCAGAAGACGCTAATCCCCTGGTAAGCTGCGGCATCCTCCTGACCAAGGAACCAAAGTGTCCGCCCAGCATTCTCGTTCACCTTTCTCTATACCCACCGAAACGTCTACTCAGAGAAGCCTAACGAGGCTAGATCACCTGTTCAGATTGGACAAAAGAAAATCAAAGTCAACAATTCTCTAAAGCCAATGATAAAGTACAATGTATGTATGCCACCTATGCATGCACGTTAAAGAATAAACTATCTGAAGCTGCCCCAACAGCAGCAAACTCAAGGTCCTTCACACAGTGCTCCGCCATATTGTCTTCCTGCTAGTGCCATCTACTGTAGGGAAGAGAAAGGACTGTGCGAGGCCTGCAGGCAATCGATGCATCCAGGCGCCGCTGAGACTCCGTTGCATTCGAATGGATCCGAGTCCGGAGTGAGTTTCTTGGTCTGCATGCCGACTGCGTCGCTTCATCGCCAAACAAAACATAATAAATTTCCTCCAGCGGGATTTTTTACCGGGTTTGAAAGGAAAAAAAAAAGACCAATTTAGTTGGGCCGTCTTAATGGGATTAATTAAGGCCTCCCGCGATAATACTTTACTCGTATTTCTAGGACCTGGCTGCACGGAGACGGGCAAAATGCCTCAAGATGTTATTCAATATGTATTTCATGCAAAGGTGTGGAACACAGACATGGTCATATGATGGCCTTCGTGCCCAACGGCTCAGGAGTCAGGAGTCAGGAGAGTTAGTGATATCAAGAGGCGATTTAGCCCATTTCGATATCACGTGAGAGTTAGATATCACTAACTCTCCTGACTCTCCTGACTCCTGACGTGTCGAGGTCGAGCGTTCCTTAATTTTAGGGTAGGCCTAACCCTCTTAAAGCTATATATTTTTGTATTTTTTTTTTTTTTTTT